ATTTTCATTGTCTTCTGTGATTGTAGTTCTAAAAGTCAGTTGTCGTGCGGTAAAAGTTTCGTCATTTGTTTCTCAAGTGGCAGCTTTTTGTCAATTGTCAGTATGTATGTTGAAATAAAAACACTAATTTCGCCAGTTATGAAAAAAATCTGTCTTGGCTGCTTCTTGACTGCAGTTATGGACTTTCACTGAACAACATAAATACTATACATATCTACATATACTTACTGGATGTAGATAACCAAATTCAGTCATTATTTTCGAAATGTGGGGATTTTGATAAAGCTGGACTCACCGATTATATTATTTATAAAGGTCATTTTATACGGTTTTTTTTTTTCGGTATCTCTGAATCACGGACACCGACCTTGCCATTTCTTGTTGAATTTTCTTGTTCTGGTTCTTTTACGTAACGCCTCCTTAGGATCGCAGAGCGATTTTTGAGTTATATCCCTGTTTTTATCATCAACTTTTGATACTCCTGGGAAATATTTCCACATTTCTGAAGTTTTAACTGTAGTTTTAACTGAAAAACAGCTGAAGGAACAACTGGCACTAACGAATTCGCATACATCCCTGGAATCGTAAATATCTTGTCAAGCCAGCACTCTTCAAGTCTCATCACAGGGAGACCACTCTATGTGCTGGTGGTTAATAAATATGAAACGAACAGAATCTATGAGGGTTATGAATAAAGCTCTGAAAATTGCATATCTAAATTACATCTCGGTCTGAATATCCCCGTAAAGTTAATGAAACGTCAATCGACTCACGTGTGGTGTTTTTTCGCCTTCCAGGGCCGTCTGAAGTGTCTTTTTACGAAATTACTTTTGACCGGAGACCATATTTATTAACCACGAACACATAGAGTGGTCTGCCCGTGGTAAATTATCACTGCCCGAGGAAACCGTATTTCATTTTGTCCATTTATGAAATACTGAGTTGTGTATTATTGACAAATTATTTGAGAAAAGCAGTTGGTAAGTTTACGTTTAGAAATATCTTGACAAAATCGAAAATAAAAAAGGAATGCTAGAAATATTTAAGCTGAAATAATTGCTCAAAAATCAAAATCGTACTCGCCAAACGGGTGAGTGATGGATGATTTGTACTCACCCGACGCTTTCCACACTCGTGCTGGTGAGGCCATTTTCTTTTTTTTCTCCGTTTAGCTTCGTCCGACCGACCCAATTTTTTTGCAATTTAAAGAGGAAAAAGTAACGACTTAGTTAAACCACTTTTTAATTTAAATAATTCTTTTAATCTGAAAAATGAGCATAGTAACAGCATAGAGAAAAACAGGAACATTTTTTACAGTATATTGTGCATTCTGTTAATCCAGATATGCAATATGAAACAATCATTGGATGAAGTTTTTGTGATGTCCAGAATAATCAAGGTCGAGGTAGAGGTTATCAGCCTAAGCTGAAGGCTGATAACCGTTACCGAGACTTTTTTTTAGGTTTTTTCTTCAAACCGGCCGACCGACCCAATATCAGGAAACGCGTTCGACGATAAACGAAAAAAAAAAACAACGGGAGGATGGCCTGAGCGGGTTAGCGCTAATTTCCAACGCTGGAGCTTGGCAGTCCTGTCTGCTCAGAAATCTATTCCTTCTTAAACATTGAAATTTATGAGTTGCTTAGAGAGCTAATAATAAATTCATATCACAGAACTGAATATATCATAATGATAATACTAAAATAATAATATTTAATGACACCCAACGTTAACTGAGCACTGGCTATTGAAATAAGAAATATAAACTACTCTAAAATTGTCAATCGGGGAGGTAATTAAAACACCCAACGTTGTCCGCATGTTGATAACGGAACGTATCACACAGCAGCAGTATTATCAACTCTGTGAAGAGACCGGGTTCACGCCAATGAGCAAGAGCACTGCACTGGCTATTCATGAAATAAGAAATAGAAAATACATTTTTTGTCCATAACTCATTTACGATCATAAAGTTCTTCAAAACAACGCCATGCATGTAGTAAGTCTTTTATCTATCATGACTGAAGTCTACTTTTGGGTAAAGTTTTCTACTGGTCAATACGAGGGCAACACGACGCAGTGATCAGTGCAATGAATGAAGAATTCCTGGTTATAACCCTAGGAAACATTTTGATAACTTTCTGAGCATTTCGGTCAGTTTCGACATATGATTAAAGAGGATTTGTCATATATTATCAGTTGTAGTCATTGAGTTGGTTTTTGGTGATTTTTTAAAGGTAAGTTTTTGTGTTTTTATGTCTTGAAACATGCGTGAATTCACGTACGCGTCTTATCGACAACTTCAGTTCTTCTTAGGGCCATCTCGTTTTCACGACTAAATCTGTGGGTGTTTGACGAGGAACGGAAATAGGATGTGCGGGGGTCGCAACACACATTTAGCTGACGAAAACTATGAAAATATCAGAAAAAAGATCTTGTTTTAATCATTTTTTTTAGGGTTTCCACAAACTTTTATGCGTCGATTTTAAGCACAAAGAGATCTGAATGGATTGTAACCGAAACTAGGGTTATGAAATAGTACAGACGGAATGCACCCTCAGGAAGAATATATGTGTTTTCAGAAACATTTCAATTCAGGATTCAACAAAAAGCGGTCAGTTCCATGGAAACCAATGACGCATTGCTTTGCGACAAATAAGTACTTATGAATGCTATTTATGACAGCAGTGACGGAAATCAGGTGGATTGCCATAAAACCCATTCGATATTATATTTAGAAAGTAAAGATATAGTAAGGCTGCCAGTATTTTATCGAAATTATATGTAAAAGTAACGCGTAGTGGATTTAAAATCACGAATAACTTTAGTATTACAGAAAGATAAAGTGAGCCGAACAATAAAGAAATCAAAGGTGTATCGGGTGTTACAACACGATTTACCGAAACAAAAAACAAAACAATAGCATTTTGAATCTACATGTATTTGCTTTCCTTGGAAAGGCTAACATTTCAAACGACAAATAGAATGATACCCTAGATAATATTTATCATTATTTTACAAATTTTAAGTCTTGGATTCCAACTGGAAAGGAAAAACAATTTCTGATATTTTTAACGCTGCAAAGGTTCAAAAAACTCTAAACAGCTGTTTGGACGCGCGCTTTGCGTGCCTGCAGGTGAAGAAATCAACCAATGACAGCGCTGGCTGTTAATATTTTTTCCGCTCGAATACACCACCTCGCGATTGATTGCATGCATAAATAACAAACCAAGAAGGGGGTATTTTGGCGGGCGTTTCGTTGATCACAAATTAATAAACAGAGAATTGTTCTGTTTCTCTTTTCACATTAGGAGAAGATATGTTCAGGACTATCAAGATATAACAGCAACTCGAATTGAAGGTTTTTTCAAGGAACTCAGCTAGCACCAGAATCGAACGGCCGTGTTCTTCTACCTGTTCAAAGTGAGTTCATCATGAACGGAAGATCGGCGGCCGTTCTCCTGGTTATCGTTTCATTTATAGCGAAGTCTAACTCGTATGACTCATATGGAGACTATGAGGACCAAATGAGGAATTATTACGACTCACTGTATCAAAGATCTTTTACTAAAGAAAAGCCAAGCAGAGATGCTAAACCATCAAACTTTATAGATCTCAAAATGCCTGGCGTTCATCCGGAGAAGGTAGGCAAGCATTTCTTAATTATTGTCCTTTGTAAACTGTTTTAAAGCTTTTGGTATAGGTGTTTGGTAGAATCATGTAGAGACTGAAGGCAGTAAATCCTCAAACATTAAATCACTTTGAAAATATTCGGGTGAAATGTCCAATTTTATACTTGACTTGCGCCAAGTAACATGAGCTTTCTTAGTTTTGTGCTTTCCTCACGATCATATTCTACGGTTCAGTTATTCTCTATCACTTTGTTTCGATGGGCGGCTAATTATTTTTCATATACTTTGCCCTGTTACACTTCTAGAAATATTACTCCGGACTTTCCAGCACGTTTCTTCTTCTAAATTCTCTTACCTTTTGTGGGAAAACTCAAAGGGGCTAGGGGATATTCAAATTTTAAGTGAGATGTCAAGCGTGAACCAAGTGTTCTTGTCTTGAAATTTTACATGTTCATGCGATCAACAACTTGATTTGTCGAAAGATAATTGTACGAATAAGTGAAATAGATACCGTATTCAAAGTCTAGATCAGTGGCAAACCAATTTCTCTTTTCATTTCGCCCAAAAGCATTAACAGAATAAAACGAATTGTTTATTCAGTATTTTTAACAGTCAGCCACAGTATGTAGATAAGCGAACCAAAACGAGTTGTCAATTATCCTTGTGTCAATTAACATGCATGATTTTTTTCAAACCAGCTGCAATAGATGAACCCCCGCGTGGGAAGTTCTTTTGTTTGCAGAAGAAATTTTCTACTTATAAAAGCCAGCAAATATTAAACAATATATAAGCTTAAAGGTTAAGCTTACATTTATGTTAACACAACTGTAATGAAATTAAAAATTATCGTGCAACTTTGAATTAAAAAAAGTATTCAGCTCACTCAAAAGCAAGCACGTTTAATTCGTGTAAGTTTGCACTTTTATGTATGGTGTTAAAAATGTCTGTGAAATTTTGGCTGAATCTTTAATGTTCATAATTAATTTTTTTTTTGGCAAAGGATGCCCTGGTCCACATTAATAAGTCGGCGTAACGATCCTCGCTGATGCGTGTATTGGACGTCTTTCATTCAGGTTGCATATGTCAATACAGGAAGGCTTTGTTCTAATTGAATTGAATTTGACTTGCCAGGGAAAGTTAACTTAGAAGCAATGCATTGGTCATAAGAATTCATAACACACATGATAATTCATTTAACCATGGAGGTATAAACGTTTTACAGTTCTAACATTGCAGAGAATAACTTTATTTTGTGTGTAAAAATTCAATTTTAAATTTGAAAACATGAGAAATCAATCTGTGTTGGTGACTTATTAATACAGAGGAACTCCTCTTTTCAAAGCTGCTAAAAGGACCACAAAATTCTAAAAGTAATGACAGTGTGCACTATCAATAGCCAAAATTTAATATCTGGAATAATATTGTCTTGCAGCATGACTCATACCTTTGTACAGCTGTGGATCTGCGTGACAAGAAAGCCTATATTGGTAGAGGATTTATTTTTCGTTGAAACTTGGTACATGTATTTACTGAGGTTATCAATACTCTAGAAACCCTGACATATTTGGAAAATGACCCCCTGCCCCCCACCCCTCCCCACTTGAACAAGCTTTTTGCACAGGATACCCAATACTAGATTACATGTATGTCCAGGTCATCAATTTCAATTGATACCACAGAAGTACCTAATGGATATCGCTATATTTTTGGGACTGAAATCAGATACTTCAAAGATTTCTCTTCAAGTAAACTTAATCTGTTTTCTTTTAAGGCTGGTTTTCACTAGTGACGGAGTCGTAGTCTAAATCGTAGGCGGAGTCATAAAGCCCTGGCCAAACAGAGTCGCAAGTAGACGCAAGTTCTGAACTTGTGTCTACTTGCGACTCCGTTTGGCCAGGCGATGACGTGCACTCACTTTTGTCGAGATCAAATTTGCACGCAAGTCGACACAAGTTTTTCACTGTTTGGCTACCCAACCCAAGTCAACGCAAGTTGAGTGACGTCCGTTTGTTGTTATGGCAACCTATTAGCCAATGAAACACAGGATATGTCTGCCATGAAAAGGTTTTTTTTGGACTTTTTTTGTGACTTGCGTGTACTTGCAAGTCTGTTTGGCCACCCAACTTAAGTCTCTACATAAGTTCAACTTGTGACTACTTGCGAGTCCGTTTGGCCACCCAACTCAAGTCTCTACGCAAGTTCAACTTGCGACTACTTGCGAGTCCGTTTGACCAGGGCTTAAGAGCGCTTACGACCTAGTGAAAATCGAAAATCAGAGTCGTAATTGGAGTCGGAAGAATTGAAACATTTCCATTTCTTCCAATTCCATTTAAGACTCCGTCACTTATGATCCAGTGAAAACTAGATTGTCGTAGTTGGAAGCAGAAGTTGAAGAACCAACCAATCACAAGACCCAGAATTGAACATTGCGATTGGTTTATTCTTCTGCTTCTGCTCGCAACTCCGACAATGCAGTTTTTACTAGGTTATAAGTGACGGAGTCATAAGCGGATGCAGTGTTTTGCTTCTGACTCCGTCGGTTTGATTTTCTCTAGATCTTATCATTCTATACTTCTGATTACGACTCTGACTACGAATCGCTAGTGAAAACCAGCCTTTAGTGAGACTCCACATATGGTGCTATAGGCCTAATAAAAAAATTCCATACCTTAAACATTTTTGGTAATACTTAAAGAAAACCCAGTTTAATATATATGAAACCTACAAACCTGGATTAAATTTGAAAAAACATTATATCCTTTTATCTCCATCTTTATCTCTAACTAGGCTGTCAATGTTGATATTAGTGACACTATTATATTTTTGTATATTCCACCCAACCCATCCAAAACTTTGAGGATATTGTTTCCTAATTCCTGAATTGATTATCTTGTACACTCAGTTAAGGTTACAGTATACCTTCGGGTCGGCAATTTTCTTCAAATTTGGATTTTTGGNTTAAGTATTTTTTCCACTTCCCAAAAACTCAAGTATTTCAACTAAGGGAGTAGAGCTTTATAAAAAAAAACCTTTGAGAATTAAGAGTTAAAACATAATTTTGCTTTTTAATATTTAATTGCATTATATATTTTTCTCCTGATTAGTCTTGTAAGTAATGTTTGCATATTTTGTAAGCAATGTTATGTTATTGTTAGTCATATGGTATAATTGTTAATAAGTAAGTAACATTACTATTGTAACTTACGTTAGAATTGTAAACTGGCTAAAAAAAAAGTAATGTTAGTACTGCAATTACAGTGGAACCCTGCCTTATGGCCTCTCTGTTAATACAGCCACCTCATTATTACGGCCACTTTGTTCTGGTCCAAACAAAGCTCAGTCAGTCATTTTCTTATTAAAGAAACCCTTTTTTGCTTTAATATGGTCACCCTGTTAATACGGCAACCCCATTAATGTGGCCAGATTTTGTGGCCCGTTGGTGACCAGATTAATGAGGTTCCGCTGTAGTATTAGTGTTGTAAGCACTGTTGCAGTTGTACATAATGTTAGTGTTTTAAATGAGGTTAGTACTGCAAATGAAACTAAAAAAAGCAAAATTGGAAAAAGTCCTGATTCTTCTGAATGCTTTTGTTTTGCAATTTCCTGAAAACATTTCAGCCATCGGAAATTTTTATCATTCTCAACAGCTGGATTTGAACCTCATGCCGAAATGCATACAGCACATCATATGTTATTGTTTGGATGCCCAGCTCCAGCAGAAGTGGCTTTGGCTAACAATGGGAAATTTTGGTATGTATACAATGATAATATTATGTTCGGCTTAACAATGTCTATTTATGGCAGCTAATGAGAAGTTGATTTATTAATTGATTTTATGTAGTGAATATAATCTAGAATAAAATTCTAGTTTAAATTCATGGCGTATAATGTGTAGCAAACGCACCAGCAATATTTGTTTAATGTAAAGTAAGTTTATTTCACTATGACTTACTCGCTACATTAACAACAGAGGAGAAGCATGCAATAAGGGAAATACGTGAAAACCACGACAAACAACATTTTCTTGATGATTAGGATTAAAGGTGAGAAAAGGAGGAACCAGCATAAACAAACATTGCCTGGATTAAACTTAAACAAACTTTCCAGAGATCTACATATAACATGCAAAAGTTATTATAAACTATTCACCATAGACTGGGTAGGACGTTCACTGCCTACAAGGGAAGGGTTCCTACATAATGCAAAAAAAAAAAAAACAACTCCAGCTCATTCCTTCAGGACCCTTCCTAATAGCTAGTCCTCTTGGCTTTAGAGTATGTAGTGGGGTAATAATTACCCCACCATGTACCATTATTGCTACGGTGTTGTGCTGGTATCTGGTCTTGGGAATGATACTCCTTTTACCTGAAAAATTGCGTGTGCTGGTGGATTAGGGTGGGTTGGTGGTAACCATCTAGGAGGGAGTAGTAATTTGGTGAACTGCTTTATGCTAAAAAAAAAACTGGGTGAAGCTCTGGCACTGTGGTGAGGATTTTACATGTATCTGTACATTGGCAGGTGCACAAGAAAAGTTCAAGGATTTCAATTGGTGATACTTGCTTTATACGTATTAATGAATTTGCTGTCTGCAGGAATTGTGGGGACATGGGATCAGGCGTGTGCCGTGGATATGGAGAGAAGATATTGTATGCGTGGGGAAGAAATGCTCCAAAGTTGAAGTTACCTCCTGGTAAGTAGGACATGTAATTATTGTCATCATCTCCATGGCAATGCCTCGTTTAATGTGAGAAATTTGGGGTGGGGATGCAGGGATGTAGTAGAGGTTACTTGAATTCTCTTGTCTAAAACTAGAGACATAAAGAAGTCTGGGATTTCAAGACAAAACATATAACACTGTAGAATTCCAAGGCCCTCTAGTTGTAGACTCACCAGTCTGCTAACAAAAAGAAAATTCTGGTTAAGAACCCCCTTCTCTGATATATGCCCTCTGCCATCCAACTTTTCCATATTAACTTACTAATGTTCTGGTAGAATGTTGCACTTTAAACAGAAATAGGTAAACTGAATGAATTTGTCAGTGGAGTGTTTAATTACATAGAATTTCTTACATTATATCACTAACCAAAGTACAGTGTATTATAGTCAGCTCCTTCAGCTAACTGCCAATAGGTTTTACCTTGTAAAATGTAAGCCTCGCCCCCCTCCTGGATATAGGCTCCCTCAGTTATAAGCTCTCCCAAGGGCTTATGATGGGACGTTAATTTTATTGTATTAATTGGCATGCAAACACATATGCTATTATGATAATCTTCACTCTTTCATGTCATAGAGTAATCATTATTTTTCCTTTGGACAACCTTTACATTATTTTGCTTTTTGGTTTTTAGATGTTGCCTTTGAAGTGGGTGGTAAATCTGGTGTGAATTATCTTGTACTTCAAGTTCATTATGGAAAAGTGGATAATTTTGTAGGTAAGTTGGCAGGCTTACATGTATTGCCTTCAATAGAGCCTTGTCGCATGGCCTTGTTGATCATTAAACAAGAAGATCTGTTAGATCTTATAACCGCGCTTTAAAAATGAAACGGTTCGCTTAACACTACCGTCGAAACGCAGTGCACATTCCAAAGCAGTCATTGATGATTCTTTTCTTACTGTAGACATCACATCACTTGATCAACACAAACTGTATTATT